ACTATGATGGAACTGTTCTACCCCTGAGATTAAAGGGAAAAAATTGGAAAAAATAAATGACACAAAGAGAACAATATCAGAACAAAGTAGCAAAGGGCCAGGAAACAGGTCTCACTGGGTGGAACAAAAACCCTGTGTAGAGGAAGAGTGCGATGGGAGAGACCAACAGACCAGTATCAGTAGCTGAATGGTCTTTGAACTGACTGATAGGGGCTACGTTCTTTCAGGTGGAAAGAGGAAGGCTGCTGAAAGGACTCACAACGTAGTACGAACAGAGACTTTCCTCTCTGCTGACCCACTGCACTACACCGTGGCAGGGGTAAGAGGGAGCAAAAAGCAGCAGTGCAGCAGAGACCGTTTCTGGACAGATGGAGAGGCATCAGGCAGTTCCAGAGACAACCTACGGAGAATAACCTTGGAGGCCACTTTGTTTCTGTTAAAAAGGGGTAGTTCACGCATTCAACAAAGATAAGCAATACTGTTTACACACAGTGTGTATTTTGCTAGGCACTGGGAAGGATACAAACACATAATAAACCAAAGTCTTTGTCCTTAGGAACTTATCGTTGAACAGAGGACACACAATTACCAAAACCAGTAAGTGCCCCATGGGTAGTTCAAAGTAACCGCAATGGCATTTTAGATGTAAACATTCTCACTTCCAGCTAGTGTGATGGTGGCGGGGGTGGCCCTCTATTGATGAGGTAGCAGGAACAGAGCTTTAAAGGATAAACAGATTTTCAGATGCTGGAGATGAAGGGAGGAGGGGATTCAAGCAGGCAGGACAACCTCTGGGTTGGCTGGAAAACAAGGATAAAGAGTGAGACGGAAAAAACAACTGCAGCAGCGCCGTCAGTCTTCAGGTCACTAACACCAGCATGCATATGTATATGCTTGACACCGCTTTCCAAATTTTTAATCTATCGTTGAATTTTTCCTAGTAAAAGAAAAATTAGCTGAGTTGGAGATTTCACTACTGCACAAGAAAATCATTCCTAAATTTAGAAAGTTTTATAAAAACTAGTAAGTTCTATGGAAAGAGGCCAGATAGAGAGTGAACTGGCTGCATGTCTTCAAAAAGGTCACGCAGAGGCCCTGATGGTGAGAACTTCTCATGCCCCCGTCGATCTGCTTTAACTCCATCCGGGAAGACCATCTCTCAGAGGAAAGAGCTCAGTCACCACTGCTGAATCAAACCTTGGCTTCTATGCAAAAAGTACTCAATATGATTTTGGTGCTTCATGTTTTTTTTATTTGACTGGGCTCAGAAAAACCACCAAACTCAATCCAATTAGACTAAAAGACTTCAAATCCTTCCTTATTTTGAATCACTTAAACAAATCTTTATTTGAAACTTTCATAATATTTCACCCTTGGTTCCTCTTTATGGAATCCAGGCTAAAAAATCTTATTGTTGCTCAACCCAACAGTTCTATTTTATATAAGCAGGTACTGGGTGGGGGCAGCAGGATGGGCCCCTGAAACACCTTGTCCCACATTACTTAGACTTGTGCCTTGGTTAACCCACTTATATAGGATGGTTTTTTCATGCGTCAACTTGGCTTAACCATAGTGCCTAGGTATTTGGTCAAACATCATTCTGGATGTTTCTAACAAGGTGTTTCTGGATGAGATTACATTTTAATTGGTGGAGTTTGAGTAAAGCAGATTACTCTCCATAACTTGGGTGGGCCTCATCCGAGCAGGTGAAGGTCTTAATAAAACAGAGACTCAACTCCCTGAGCAAGAAGGAATTCTGCCAACCTACCCTGCAGATTCTGGACATAGCAAGACTCCACAACTGCCTGAGGGAATTCCTTAAAAGAAATCTCTCTATATATATATGTACACATTCTGTTTCTCTGGAGAACCCTGGTTAATATGGACAGTAATGCCAGAACCAGGACTACAGACTCTTAGCCACACTGTTTTCCTTTCTCAAGAAGAGGCAAATAAAAGAAAGGCGGAAGGAATTAGCCAAAGGAAAGAACAAAGCTAACTTACACACGGCTTTGTTTTTATTCATCTCTACCTACAGCAAACAGAAGACCAACTCATAAATAAATATTTTAATGCTCTAAAACCAGAAAGCTTGGTTTGGATTCATAAGTTATCTCACAAAATAAACACTGCAAGTTTTTCCTTTCCAGACCCCTTTTTCTTAGAACATCCACATGTGTACTTATTACCACCTTCAGAGTTTCAGAATTATTAAATCTTTATTTCCCACCAAGGATGATGGCCACGGTTACTGATAGGCTACTACACAGTGAATAACAGTGACAAAGTTAATCTTTACTAAATAGGATTATTAAATGGTAAAGTTCAACCATACATATCAAAGAAAAGACCTTCATAACCCAATCATGTCAAACCAGTATTTCTATTAATAATAAATCCAATTTTATTATGCAAAAGCTTCAATAACATTCTGAACTATTATCAAAATGGTGTTTTTAGGGTATCTGTGCCAACTATCCACCTTAGCATGAAGTTTCTTGTGGAAAGTCAGCCACTTAACCAGTTAATGCAATTCATAACACTAGAAATCTGCACAGATCTGTTAAGGTCAGTATCGCCTAATATCATCTAAAACTGATTGACAAGGAGCAAAGAATATAATTAATGAGGAATTATATTTGTTCTTACAGGGTAAATATTTCATCTGCAAATAATAAATATTTGAGAAGGGGTTTAAAAAAGTCACGTTATATAGCTTCTAAAGGATGTCCTTCAGAGTAAAGACCTTACTACTACGTATATTAATAGCTTATGTAGCTAGAGTTGAAAAACTATAAAATATCAAACTCTAAAATTTAATTTTCAGTTGGCAGGAAGGTGAGCATATAAATGAAAAACTATGATAATGAATCTTTCTTTCAAGAACTGAAGACCAGTTCAAGCGGCAGGCACCTGGACCAGTCAGAGCCAGATTAGGGGCAGAGGTTACCATTTTAATGAGACAGTGGTTCTGTGGGCCTCTGTGTCCCTGCAGTGCACAGAAGGGTTTGGTCTTTGGAAAGAGTGCCTAGAAGTCATGTACAGACAATACAGGACATCTCACTTCAAATAGGAAAATCAAGGTGGTAGCAGGAGACAAGCAATGTATTACAGT